AAAGATCGGATTTTTGCAAACAATCGGAACTGAGCATTAAGACCTGCAGTGTGAACGTAGCCTCTGTGGAGCGGGAGAAGATGCAGACCGACCCTCCCAAATTAAAAAAAGATAAAGAAAACAGGTGAGCCGCGCTGGTAAAATTAACAAACATGGTAGAAAGAAAGAAGAAAGAGATGCAGAGGGGGAAGGAAAAGTTTGCGCGAGATGCAGCCAAATGAGTTCAATAAACAGATATTTTCTGTGATAAAGGGGCCAARGTCAGACYGAAGTCAGCTGAGAGACACAACAGAACCAGGTCAGCAGCTCTGTCTACATCCATCAACACAGCTCAGACCGATCCTTTCCACCTGTTGTGCACACAGATTATGTTTTTAATCATAGTTTAAAAAATAACTCTGTTCTCATGAGGATACGCTGCACATGCAGCACATCACCTGCAAACAGCTGGATCAGCTGTCAGAGCCATGTTAAATAAAGGGATAACCCAGCAATTTTTAAAGCAGGACTGCAGGCCAAAATTTATAACAAAGACCTGACATGATGTTAGTGCTTGGAGGAAGTTGTTTTTTAACAGGGGCAGATATACGATATTTTTCTTCTTTTTGCACCTTTATTATTCAATAATTGATTTGCTTAGATGTTTTTAATGGTTTTTGTTGGTTTTAAGAAATAAATAAATAAACACTYACAGCTACTTCTAGCAGTCTACTTCTGAAGCCTCACACAACAACCCCAGCTGCAAATGACTTTTTTCTTCTATTCCCATGGAATTCAGGGATTAAAACTAGATACCGCATAGCGGTAACATAATGACCCCCACACACACAAATGCACCAGAACTCAGAATTTTTCATTCTTAACAAATGTCATGCTACTAGATGCATCCCAAAATTGTAGTGGTTTGGGTGGGGGTCTTTTTTTGGGGGGTGTGGGGGTTGACCTGACCCCTCATCAGAGCTAAACAACAAAAGAAATCTGAAGGTTCTATGTTTAATAGTTTTTGAGCTATAACCATTTTTGAATGTCCAGGTACCCCTTTTTCAGATAAATTGGGGGTCCGGCGGGGGTGGGCACTGATTGGTGGGTTTGATGGGTAGAGCTTCATCAGAGCTAAAGAAAAAAAAAAAGAAATCTGAAGCTCCTATGTTAAATAGTTTTTGAGCTATAACCATACCTCTTTTTCAGATTAATTGGGGGTCCGGGCGGAGGTGGGGGCACTGATTAGTGGGCCTCATGGATAGAGCTTCATCAGAGCTAAACAACCCCAAAAATCTGAAGCTCCTATGTAGAACAGTTTCTGAGTTATAAGCATTTTTGCCTGTCCGGACATCCATTTTTCAGAAAATTGGGGGTCCGGGGGTTGGGGGGCACTGTTTGGTGGGCCTGATGGATAGAGCTTGATCAGAGCTAAACAACAAAAGAAATCTGAAGCTCCTATGTTGAACAGTTTCTGAGTTATAAGCATTTTTGCATGTCCAGACACCCCATCTTCGAAAGGAGCCCCCTCCTCAAATATGGGGTCTATCGTAAAACCATTGGCTGGCGCAGTGTAGGTCAGACTCAACTGCAGTCCTGTCAGCTTTCATGTTGATCGGTGCAGCCGTTTTTGTGCTACGGT